CTATATCTACCGTATGCAGATCTAAATAATTACGTGGAAACGCTGAAAACTCGAAGGCCCATCTGTTGCCGTTATAATAGAGCCATTTGCATTTATCTTCTCGCGAAATCATTCTTTAAAATGCAATAGGCGAAAAACCATGTCGATGCCTTGCACTTGTCCTTGTGTGGTTGAGCATAATCTCCATTCCGCTTCCTCGATACAAAATCGTCTGTCGGTGACGAAAGCTTCGCGCAATTTTCGCTTAAAACGACGAGCACCTGGCGCAATTGAAATGTCGGTGCTTGGCGCTTTTTTACGAACGTACGAGATTTTCATTTACACTCACGACGCAGTCGGTTTTTTCTTCAATGCTGGAAATCCAATCTATCCTCGCGTGAATCAATTTCGCAAATGAAACGTACCTCGTTGAGATTGCAACTCAGAACAAATAGATCAGTTGATGAAGGGATAATCTATTTGTATAGCATTAACTGCACAGGCATGAATGAAGACTTGCTCCATATCAATCACTCCGTCCGGTCGGGCTTCCTCGGCAACAGATATCTATTTATTACGTAGCGAGCCGAAGAGACAAAGACAACGGAACATTGGCGAGAGTGCTCCTCCTTGAACTGCCGCGCCGCTCAAGTCAATGTCTCGAGAGAGAGAGAGAGAGAGAGAGCCAAGCTATATAAACCTTCCCTCTGCGCCGTATGCTCCACGCGCGTAATGCTTGTTTTTTCGGGCTTGGCGCTGCCGCGCCAGACAAAGGAGCCACCGCTCTCGCGTGCCGGGAGCCTGATTGTTAAATTTCCTTCTTATTTTTGCCTTCGCCGTCGTGATTGCGTATCGCGCTTTTTCCGCGATTAATAAATCGCGCGCGCGCGCGCGCGGCCGGAAAGCCTCGCCGGGTTGATTACCTCGATCGTTCGACTCGCGTCCGTCGCGACACGACAAAGCATTGCGCGTCGCGCCAAGTTGCGAAGAAAAAAATCGTGGGAAAGGCGATTTACATTGCCAGAGAATCCGCGTCGCTACGAAGTAAACCGAATATGCTCACGGGAGAGACAGAGAGAGAATAATTTGCAATTACGCGCAGCTGCTGTCGTGTAATTACACCGCCTCGCTTCATTTTCGATATTTTTCTCCTCGCGAGAAAATCAGTTTCGTCATCGAAGCCTCGACGCCGCCGTCGACGCATTAGCATTCTACCTTACAACCTTTCATGAATTTATCGACGTGCGCCTTTTTCTTCTTCGCGCGGCTTAAAAGCTCGGGCGCGTGTTCGTTGCTCGGCATTCAAACACAGGCGTCCGCAAGGACGAATATAATTTGAATACTCGCGAGCACAACAAACCCCCTTTGATCGAAATGAGGATTTTCGAAATGACACCCCGCGGAACTTTTGTCGCGCGCGCGCGGAATGTTTAATTTCCTAAATTGTCTGTGAACAGAGCGCTGGCGAAGTGCATATAATATAATATCGTCAAACGCTCGCTTCGTTTTTTTTCTCGTTCCTCCCACGCCTCTGTAATGTGGCTTTCTTTTCATTGCCGTGAGAATAGAGGCCAATGACTGTGGTGCATGATGCCTCGCCTGAATTATACCCTTTTTCTCCTATTCTCTCGAGGGAAAAGAGGAGGAAAAAGAAGAACGTTATGCAAGTCGGTGTAATTGTCGCGTATATGTATGTAAAAGAAACGGATTCTTGCTTTTTAGAACCGGTAAAAATCGCAATTACGTCTCGTGTTTTTTTGTTTATACGCCGAGAGAATGTCAAGTCTGCGCCGCGAGTGTTGTTTTCTTTTTCGTACGATCGACGTGAAATTTCAAGCTCGCGCGTCGAGGAACTCTTATAAACTCGATCCACTGCGTCGGAAACCCACCGGTGAACCCCCTGCTTCTTGACGTACATTTTCAAGTTTGAGAAAAGGGATTTCGCCAAGCTTGCCGCACGCGTACACGCGTGCAGTCTTGGCAAGACGATGGTATGCGCGGCAAGGAGGAGCTACGCGATGAGACCACGCAATCGCATATATATAAAGAAAGTCGAGGCGCATTGTCGAGTGTCGATTGCATTCGCCGAGAGGGAACGGCAGTGTATCGATCAAGTCGTCGCTCGACTGTCGTTCCTTTTGCCAGTGGAGAAATTGACGTCGCGACGTTACATTTAAGCTGCGCGTCTCGGAATCAGGATGTAAAAGCGAGTTGGAACGTCCGCGAAGTGCAATCCGGTCGCGCGTCGACGATTATCAGCGGCGTCATCGCGTCCAATTAGCGTTTCAGACCGCGAAGCTCATTAGCGTCGTTGAAAAGGACGAAGGCGGGCATTTATCGAGGGAGATTTCATCGATTAGCGCTGAACTGCCTCTCGCACCTTTGGCCGAACAAAGTGAGGAAAATCTCGCGGGCATACCTGTGCGCGCGCAGTAATTTATTCCCACGAGAGCGAATTTTCTGGCCTCTCCTCTAATGCGACGCCGGCGCGCGCCAAGGCCAGCGACGACGACGACGCGCGCGCGCGCGCACGCACGCGTAACGTGCTCTTTGTTCGAAAAAGTGCGCGCGGGGAAGGTGAGGACGAGAGGCATTTGCGTGTGCGCCGAGATTATCGTCAGGATGAATGCGCGCTGTTCTCTTTCAAAAACGCGAGGCACGAACGTGGTAGTTAAGCGCGCGGTTTCTTTTCCGCTTTGTTTTTTTCCTCTCATCGCTGCTCATTTCGAGCGACGATTTCAGGCTATCGAATTGTCTAAATTGCACGGATCTCAACTTTCGACTGTTTAAACGCGCTGTACGCTTTGCTTACTTTTACTTTCATGTCACTAAAGTAGCGTAATACCACTCGTCAAAAGTCTCAATTGGCATTTTAGATGGGCGAATTGGGCTCCTAACGAGATTACGCGTCCATCCATCACCGCCGCTTTAATATTCTAATTCATCTTTCACGCCCCACCAAAACGCGCACGCGCCTAGAAAATGAGCACCCGCAGATCGGAACACACGTTCAGTCACGGATAGATTTTCGTTTACGTTCGTTCGGCCCCGTAACAGTTGGAATACCGAAGCTCGTTAGCGCAGCCGACTAACGGACCAATGAAATCACCAATCGGCTCACAGGCCAGAATTTTCGATCGGTCTGCGTGGGTCGATGAACTTTAGGAATGCTATCACTGATGTAGCCACACTAGAATTTCAATGTCTTGATCGTGATGAGACGAGGGGGTAATAGTTGTATCAAATCATTCTTTTTAATATTATTATTTTTTCACAACTAGATCGACATAAGATTTTGTGATTGCTATTGTACCAGTGGTTTCGTTTTAGTTGTGATTTGAATTTGAATACATTTCGTAACAAGATCTAATGGTGCATTACGATGAACCAAATGAAGCCACTGGCAATGCTTTTCAAAGCTTAATAAAAAAATCTCTCAATAAACTACTACCCATCCAGCGTGCATAAACCGATATATATCAACTATATGACTAGGATACAGGTATTTCTTTTATTTATTTATATTTCTGATGTATAGTAATACGCGGATATGAAACGCAAAAATGCGCTACGCGTTTTTTACGATCTGCACGCTCTCTCTCTCTCTCTTTCTCTCTCAAGTGGCTTTTTTATGGGGCGACATTTTAAGTTTGTTACTCGCAGCGCACGATACAAATCTGGCGGTAGGTAAAAATACGCACGACAATGTGTACCCCACGCGTTGATGTGACGCCTGCAGGGTTTTATTCGCGACCCGATTTTTTTTTTTCTGGTAAAGGAGAAAGGAGAGTTGCTGCGATGGTGGTGCAGTATCGAGTCTTTCGTGAAGCTGCGGTTTTATTTATAAGCGATTTATTTATGATATAGATATGGTTGTTTTAGTCGCGAGATTATATCTGTGTGGGCGTGTCTGCGCAATCGTTTAGTTTTGAAAAATAATTGAACGATGAAAAATTTCTACCTACTCGAGGCTAAACTGCCAGTCAACTCGTTGCACTCGCGAAACTAAATACTGGTCAACTTCCGATCGACATAGGTGTCAACGCCACGCTTCTTCTCTTTTCAAGCCCAGTACGCACCATATCCGATCTCACGACGACGAAAGTGGTACATTATAAGGGTCTCTCTTCTTCAATTTTTAAAAGTAGTTTTTACTTAGCCGTCAGCTGTCGTCGTACTTACATATCCGTCGACACGTCGCTTGAGAAACTTGATCGAAGACAAGTTTCAATAAGCGAGTTAATGATTTAGGGAAGCGAATGTGCAAAGTCAGTCTTCACATTTTTTTTAGCCAACATAAGTACGATTGAGACATTGAACACTGAATCTCAATTAAGTTTACCGCAATGATAAAATTCAATTAACCAATTAATCTCGCAAGAGAGAGAAAAAGAGAGAGACTATTACTTTGGTTAGAGTAGTTGTAGATTGCGCACCATTATTTCAATTGTTATGGTGATTCAATTTACAATATTTTTTCGCTTGCTTCCGAGAACAGAGAAACGCCGTTACTCATTTAATCACGATACAGAAACCTTCGCTGCTATGACCTATTTACTAATCGTTTATGATCACGATCATTTACGATTTCATCTGCTATATCTGATGCATTCCGAATGCAGCATTTACTTTCACCTCCAATCCATAAATTTCAGTATTATAATTGTTCGTTTCTTTGTGCGCTAACTTTCTTGCGTTGAATCGACGTAATTTATCGAACTTGGTCGAGTAACGGTGCGGTACGAGACTTCAAAAATAAACCTGAAAAAGGGAACGCGACAAAAGTAAATCCCGAGACGGCCGGAGGATAAATTAGAAGACAAGATTGGCATCGGATGTTAGACAATATTCGCGGGAGGCTCTCATTATTCATCGTTCGCGTGTGGTTTTCTCGCGCGCGCACGGGGCCACCATAACGGGTCCCCTTCTCTACGGAGAGATTGGAAAATGCGCCGGCACGTAATACCGTTTGTGGTCGCATACCAACCTCCCTATACACTTGCGACAAAAAACTATACATATATACATGTAAAGAAAACGGCAACAGCCTTGCGTGCGAAAAAGAAAAAAAACAACGGAATCATGCAGCTCAATGATTGAAAGGAAAATGTGTAGCAGTAGTGATAAGTTATCGCGTGAGATTCTGAAATGGAATTTTTTCGCGCTGGTGAACATTTGTCTCCAAATCGTTGTTAGGAAAATCGTAATTTACTCGAACAAAATATCAGTGTCTGGGTTATATTTAGTTCCTAATAGTTGTCGAAATAAATAAATTTGAATAATCCTCTTCAGAGAGAAATAAGTTTTCTTGAGCAGACGGGTTCTTCGTCACCTCGTGTGTTGAGATCTACAAACTGACCAAGTGCCGAAGGAGGAAGATGCGACCTTGCTCGCTCGCAGCACGGTAATTTATCTGTCAGTGTGTCACCGGAAGCAGCCAAGATCTCTGCGTGCTGTATCTCTCTGCGCAAAAATAATAGGCCAACAATTTTAACGAAAGTTTTGAGTCTTTCCGCGCGAAAGTTTGCCGCCGAGAGTATTGGAACGCGCCGGAAGCGATTAATTGCAAAGTACGAAAATAGTTCGATACCTCCACGTTGTTTATGACGCGAAACGCTTTCATTCAGATTATACGGCATCTCCTTCCTTTTTTATTTATTTATTTATTTTTTTTTCCACGTAAAAGAACGACCGGTGGTTTTATACATTTTATTTAATAAAAATTCAATACAATCAGACATTTCATTGTGCATGAGAATTCGTTCATAAGGTAAAATGTGTACATTATAGAAAGCTGACGTATGTATCGTCGCGACTGTTTACAAACACAGTCGGAATGGTGACTACATAAATTTAACCAATCGCAAACTATATCATCAATTAAAAATAAATAAATAAATCTCGTAAAGATAAAAGTGTAGAAGGAACGTGAATATGTATATCTTGACGGTGATTCTGTTCGATGACGTTCAATTAGTGCTGCCGGTATTGCTGTCGTAACCACCAGCGATTCAGATGACGACGTCGAATGTGACATTCTACAATTGATACAAAACCATTTGTAAAATTAGCAATGACAACTTTCACAAAGAGTAATTGTCGTATGTGTTACTCTTTTCAAAGTTTTTTATAATCAAGATATGATTGTTAACTTTAAATTTTTTCGGTAATGAGTGATCGTAAAAAAACTTGGGAATCTCCTCGTGAATAATTTTGTAAACCGCGTAATTTGCATATTTATGTGAATAACACTACGATGATTACTGATTCACGATGATACGAATGACCTTTTTAAAATTCAACGTTGCGCCAATGAATATAAGCCAATTAAAACGATTTTAAACGTTGATCAATCAACAGCGTCAAATATTGGAATTACGCATTAATAACAACAGATAATCAAACCAAAATCGAAGTATTTACTTTGAATTGCAAGCATTTGCATGAGTACAAGTGCCTATTTGAAAATCGAATGTCGCAATGAAATGGTCAAATCCAACAGACTCGCATGGATTTCATACAAGAAAATCTGCTGTGGGAACTTTTGAATGGTGAGAAGTAACTCACTGGAGCAAAACTTCCTATCAAGCGCATGATTGCACGTCGACTTTTTACTGGACCTTGCACCTCTGGTCCTCGCACTCTCGCCACCAGCAGCCGGCTGTTCCCGAACATCTTCAGTCGGCAAAACTCTTACGCGCGGCTGCCGAGTCTGACGATCAACGGCAATCAAATTCACCCGGAGTCTCATCGTCGGTCCATGTGGCGTCTGCACCACAAACGAATACGAGCTCTGATGGTCGTCCGGGCGACGTAGGTTGCGCTGTGGCGCGCGTGCCATTTGTATGCTCACTTGGCGCGGATCGAACGAGCGCCGATTCACCGGCGTATTTTGCGCGGCCAACATGATTCCGCGTGCAACGCTCACGAAGTAAACACCGCAACTGAACGACCATAAATATCGCGATCGACGAAGCTTTCGGCATCAGCCATTTTGATTCCAGCCGAGGCAACATCTTCGGCGAGTTGTTTGCAATTCACTCGCGGTCAACCGTTAAACGCATTAGCACACTTGAGCTACCGATAAGTAAGTACAGCGTTTTTGAGCCATTTTTTTTCCTTTCCAAGAGCATAGTCACTCGCACGCGAAAGAGCGCCACACTCTCGTTTATTTTCCCTTTTTCTCCCGTCGAAAGTCAAGTGCGACTGGAGATTTCGAATGACGGCTCCGGCGTGATATGCATTAAATGTTATCAAGCGCTTTATTCGAAACCGAAGCGCACTCCCACGATTTCATACGCCCGTAATCTCCCTTTATTTTTTCTCTCCTTCCAAACAAAAACTTTTTAATACGCGCCGTCTATCGCACTGTTTTCGACTTTGATGCGTCTGTAATTTTCTACAGAGGAGAGAAGTATACGATTATGTTAATGTTCTCTCTGTCCACTTTGCCCACGAGACGAGCGCGTTCTAGCGCTTCATTGTCGAAATGCAGCGACGAGGTATCGCTTTGCGCGTACATGTACGCAACGGCACAGTCATTTAATTCTACACAATTATATTTTTGTCGTCGGAACAGAGGTGGGATCGTGAAATCCATCTTCTTCGCTAACGAGCTGTTCTGTTGTTTCAGATCTGTCCAAGCGACGCAGGGCCGACGCTCGAAGATGAAGCTTTAATACGAGATAACTCGAGGAACAGACAAGCAAAGAGGAAAGATGTCGAGCGCGACGCAGTGCCGGCATTTCGTGCAGAACGCTTGGAAGAAGGAGCTCTGCTCCAATTGCTTCAAGTCGCGCGAGGAGCACGCGACACTAAATCAAGAGCATCATCAAAGACAGATCGTCGCGAAAACTACCAATAGTGTTAAACGCGTCGCTCATAAAGTCCAGGTGAGATTTCATTTCCTAATCGTCTTCTACGTGGACTTTAGTCGAAAGCAATCTCTTTACCTGTCCCGTCGTCGAATAAAATCTCTCCCTCTCCGCCCCTCGGTAGTGCACACACATATACGAGATTGCAAACTCCCGCCGCCTTGGAAATGAATGTCTGCGGTCGTCATATAGAAACGTGTTTTTCTTGCGCTCGTACAATGTTTGCCTGCGTACATAACGAAGGAAGCGATAATTCTTTGAGCTGCAACTTTGTCTAAAGCGTTTCACACGCGCGCCGGCAGACCGATGGGTGATCAGTTTAAATCATCGCCTGTTCTTTCCCGGCGGTATTCAATCTTTCCTCCGGCCGACGTGTAATCAAATTTTACGACGGTGATAAAATAGATGTTACACGAAACGAGAAAAAAAGGCGCAATTGCAAAAACTGCGAAATCGTTGTAGTTTCCTTCTTCTTTCTTTTGCAGTAATTGTAGTTTGGAGATGATAAAATTTTTTTGCTGTTGCACGCGTTATCAAGATTATTCTTGCGGATGCAACGTACGTTGTCATTACATTGAACCGCAGCGCGTGCCGTCGAGGGAAAATTTAAAAAAACATTGAAGCTAACGTTGGCTCGAACACGCACACCTGGAGTTATTTTTACTCGAACTACAAATGAGAAAATTCGCCCAAATAGTTAAAATATTTCCATCGATAATTATAAACTATCCACGAACCATCGCCGTCACTCTGACCTTATCCTCCACAGAGAGATTTACCTTGTGCGTATATGGCCCACGGGTATGTTACAGCCTGCCGGAGGAGAAAACTAGGTCATCCTCTTGCAAACCATACACACGCGGAAGAGACGACGACGCTAATGATTCGCGCGCGGAATTTCGAGGTCGCGCTTAATGAGCTGGGTAGAGCTGATTTATAATTGCATCGCGGAAAAAAGTATCCAGATTTCAGATTTCATGAGTGCAATGTACTCTCGGCAGATTTTTTCCAATTTCAACTTACTCATCGTAGATTAATTACGTGTATGATTCAAAGTTTACCCCTTTTGCTCTGATCTTATCAAAATAACGTGGAGGCCTAAAGTACGATAAAAAAAGTAACATTTATATACTACTTTATCATTCATTTTATCATTAAAACCAACAAAAAGCCTCGTACTCAGCCAAAAATCCGGCAAGCATTACGACTTCCCGCGTGGATCGCAAGCAACATGAGTAATCGCTGATGCAATGAGCGATTAACGGCGCCTTGTGGATGCGAAGTTGTGATGGGTGTCGCGCGCGTAGTGGCCTTTTTCTCTCTCTCTCTCTCTCTCTCTCTCTCACTCTGACCAAAAAAAACGTGATGGATTGCTGGGAGGATGTTTTGCTTGTCATGAAATTGAAAAGAAGAGATGATACGGAAGTTATAATGATCAATTTATTAAATGTGGAGTTTATAATAATGTTCACCTGCAGAACGTGGATTACGGTAATTGTTTAGTCATTGCAGTTTGAGGATTAGATCAAATGTATACTTATCCTTTTAATTATTTTTTTGATTATAAAAATCGTGTCTGTCTCCTTGAAATTTACACTGCGCTGTATAAAACTTCACTGGCGTTGAAAAATGTAAGACGACAGCATAATAAAAAATACATTCATTATCTCATAACAACGAATTTCACGCTCTAAAGAAATTCGCACAACCAGATGAGAAAAAAGAAAAGAAAATACATTCATCAACGCGCACAACAACGGCAACAATCGTTATCGAAGCATCACTTTTTCTTTCAATTAGCCATCGCTCACGCGAACACTTGAACTCTTCCCATCGACGGCTGCTCATAACTTTGCGTGCACAGATCAGCGAAAGCGCATCAACACAAAAGACTCGAGAGAAACGTCGCGATTTTTCCTTCCTATTTTTTTGCAGGGAAAGCCTCGCTGAGTTCGATCTAGGCCGTCCGATAAAAAAGAGTTTCGCGGGAAAGCCAATTATCATGGGCTTTTCGTGCTAATTATGAACAGGCTTCCTTTGCAGCGCGCGATAATTGCGACATGCTATTTTTTTCATTCTTTGCTTTCTGCTAGCTTGACGAATTGAGATGTCGACTTTTGTTTCGGTAGTTTTTTTTTTTAAGACGAGAATCGCGGTGATTTACGCGTGTTTACGCGATTATGTCGTTTTGTTACGGGCATTTCGGAATATCAACAATTCTATTTCAACTGAGTCATTTGCTGTATACTCCGCAAATTTGACCGGAACGAAAAGTGAATGAAAGCGAAACTGCAGAAGGTTAAACATTAGCGAATTGCGTGTGTTCTAAGCGCACATTGCAACGAGTTCGTCACGCGCATCCACAATCGAGGTGTACGCGACTATTGCACACATATCGCCGACAAGCGCGAGTCCTTGCGCACTTGTATTGCGTAGGCAAGTGTCGGAATTCATTCCCTCGAAACGTCGTCGTAGTCGTCACAACACATCATAATTTTCGCCGTCGTCGTCGCAATTTTTCGCTTGCCTCGGAACTATAACGAAATTTTATCGCCGACCGATTTGATGGTGCATTGTCAAGCCTACGTACAATTGAATAAATAATAGCATTTTCCCGTAGGTATCTCGTGATTTATAGTCATCTCTGGCTGGATTAGTTTACGACGCAATTGCGAAAAACGGTTTGTCTTTTAACTACTTATTATACTTATTATACTGCGGCCCTGTTATTTAATCAATATTTTCTTCGGAAAATTAACACGAAAATAAACACGCTCGCTGTTTATACCCCGACGGAATAAAAGCTCCTTTCACTTCGCCGAAATTGCAAAACAGATTTGTCAAACAAAAGCCTCCAAAACTAATCTTAATTTACAGGGTATCCTCCGCTCGAAAGAAGCTAGAGCAAAACGCAAAAATGTAGTCTTCCCCGACACACTGACCGAAATAATCGGCTACGACGGTGGTGACTTTTACGGCTCGGACGACGAGCATCCGGACGATCAACCGGACAGTTGTTCCGAAATTGACGATCTTCCGGATAGCGAAGAGGAACGAGCACTGGGCAACTTGACCCGCGCTAACACCAATTTCAATACAGTCACGGCAAATCTCACCGGAACAATCGAAGAAGCCAAAGCTGCCTCGTCAAGAAGTTTCAACACGCTGAGGCTTGGCAGAGCACCCAAGGATGGAGATGGCAAGAAACCCGCGTTGTTGGTTACCGTTACGCCGTTTGGCGGCGATGACAGTGTTCCCACTGCGAGGTAAGTTTGCTAATGAATTACAACTTTGCCGAGACCATCGGTGACTTGACGAATTTTTTATTGATTTTGTAGAAGATTAGTCGAGAAAAAGTCTTCCCCAAATTCAACGAAACCTAAACCAGTCAGCGTGGACGAGTCGCCGAAACCCATCGCAGAATTTATACCGAAGGCTACCGTGAGTAAGAAGCCTGTCGAAGAAACGAAATCGATCGAATCGCCGAAAACTGTACCGGCACCAGCGGCGATCGTAGACATGCCACTGATAACGTCGACGAATTTACTCTCGGTAATATCACCAACGACGACCGAACAACAGAGACGAACGACGAGCATCGCGCGAACTCCTGCTATTAAGAAACCGGAAAACGAGAAGCCGAGAATCGTTGCGCAGGATCAAAATGCTGCGAGGAATCAGAAGAACCTCGAAATGTCAAATGGTGTCGAGCTCAAATTGAATCCTGTTAGGACCAAGCACGATAATGATAAGGACAATTCTAAATTTGCCAAGGTAGGAGATTATAATTTCTTTTTTTCTAAGTTGTGGTTGACAATATTTTTATTTATCGAAATCCCATTTGTAGGAGATACCAAACTACACAACAGATAAGCCTCGCCCAGCACTCACCGATCTAACGGAGCGTAAAGTCGAAGGCGAGGCAGCGAGTGAAAAATATCGTCCATACGAACAAAGTCGCGAATCAGCCGGTGAACCAGATGGCAAAGCAGACGAGGAGGTTTTAACCGAACCACCAGCTTTACCATCAAGCCCACCACCAGCAATGGAATCATCTGCTAAACGTACGTCGTTCTTACATGGTATGACGGAGAAACCGAAAGTGCCGCAGAAACCCGTAAGTCTGCCGACGAAGGTCGTTGGATCGAGTTTGGCTTCGCTGCTCAGCGAAAACAGACTTTACGAGTACAGATTGAGTCAAATGCAAAGAAGTGCTGCGCTGTCGCACTCGCAAAGCGAAAGTCAATTATGTGCAATCGAGAGTGGTGCAAAGGTGAGTGTGGATTCGTGCAGTGAGTCGACGAGTGACAAAACTGAAGAGAAAGACGAGCAGGTTTGTGAAGCGTTGGATGAATACACATCAATTTTTTTTTTAACATTAGTTGAAGGTTTTTTATAATTACTATTTAGGTAGAAGAGGAGATAGAAGGCGAAGAAGATGAAGACGATAGTGAATCGTCAACGGACGCTCCGCGTTCATTTTCGAAGCGCCGAATGGCGCCACAACCACCGAATCCATCCGAAGACACCTCGTTGAACCTTTTCACGCGTAACCCGGCGTCGAAACAATCCGACTGTCCGGTTGTACGCGAGAAAGAGAAACGCGAACGTGCTTCAAGCTGTAGTCCAAAATTCCGCAAAGGTGAAGTCACAGAAAGCACAGCAGCAAACAGACCGCCAGAGCCAGCGCCTAGGAGGAATATATCCTTATCACAGGATAGTCTGGCTATGGCGGCTAATAGCGAAAGAGTAGTGGAAGAGAAGAAGAAGAATCGATCAAAATTCTCATTGAAAAAGTTCTTAAGGATGGGATCGAAAAAGGTGAGTTATTTAATTTTAATGCGCTGTATGCAGGAGAAAATGTAAGTATTCTAACTGCTGATGATTTCAAGGACGTTGACATGACGTGCGGTTCGAAAAGTGATGAGATTCCGTCAACGCCGCAACCAAAGCCACGGCTGGAAATCATTCATCCGCTGGAACTGGATGGAGCTGCTGTACAAGTCGTGAGAAACGACAAGAATGCTAATGGCGGTGAAGATACCACTGAGTTGAAGAGTGATGCCCCTGGCAGTAGCAGTCCCATCATCCACAATACTCCTCCTCATGTCACGAGTAAGTTTTACGTTTATTGTAACTTTTGTAATTGCTACTTGATAAGATATTATATTTGACACTAACATCGATTTCCATGATTTTTTTAGCTATATTTGAGTAAACATACTTAAACTGATAAGGCATGTATGATAAATTTATTTCGGTATTCGATCTTATAAAACCTAAAACGCCAGATAACTTCTCGTTTTCTTTTTAACTATAGAGAATATTTGACTACTGATAGTAATAAGTTAATTATGCCAAAATTACCAAACATTACTTAAATGAAATATATTATGTTTTGATATTGATTTATATTAGAAATGAACAGCAAATAATTTCTTAAATTAAAATAATTGCAAAATTATGATATAGACAATAATACCTAGTTTCTAAAAATTTTGAAATTCAAATGCTTCCATTTACTAAAACTGCAGTTCGACCGAGTAAACCGCCTCCACCACCTCGATCACAATCACTCGACGAATCGTCGAGTCGAATACAGCAGCAGCAACAGCAACAAAACAGTGGGAAGCCGTTAAACGGTAAAAGTTGGCAGCCGAACGGCAATAGCGGCAACAACGATTCGATTTACGCTAACTTGGGTAAGTTCAGGCCCATACAGTGCAACTAATCCACAAGCCACACCTCTCTATTTAGCCATCCGCTGCAATATACAATATATTGATCTTGTAGTAGTTCGAAGCCGAGCGATAATTAATAATTACAATTGTCCTCCTATAACCGCGCTACTTTTTTATTCGATCCATATTTAGTTAGTTTATTTACATACGTATGTTTACGTCTCTCATATGTAACAGCCATACTCACATGATAGACTCGCACCTGCTTTATTCATTTATGTTTTTTTATATAGACGATTGTTAATTCTTTATGTGTAATGTAGTAGCTCGTATTAATATCTTTTTTCCTTCTTATGTGTGTACATCGATTGAAAATATCAGTTGTTTTAGCTTTTTAGAGAGCTTGTTTCGAGAAAAATTATACAGATCTGAGATTACTGTTTGAAATCATAATACGAGGGATTTTTCCTTTATTTGATTTCTTTACGGTTTGCTTTAGCAGACGTTGCAGTACTATATTTTTCTAGTTATCAATTATTATTTTTTTTATTTATCAAAGTAGTTTGAATCAGCTTTGTTAACGAGAATGCTAATGGAAGCTTTTTTTCGTTAATATGCTCCACTGAATTTGATAGCAATAAAACAGAGATTATTCATGAAATATCATTGACGTGGATGCATTAGCTAAAAATTGATGTATTGTAGATCAATTTTGAGTAGATGAAATTTTATTGACTTGAAGAAGCATTTGTCTATAACAAACATTGATGATTTATAATAGAAATGCTTACTTCAAAATTTTAGTTTTTTATATTTGATTCACGTACTGATTTTATGAAAACAAAAATCAAAAGTAGACGTTAGATTCATTACATTTAATAGTTCGCAATATCATTTTTTATAAAGTGAATAGAAACTTTTGTAATATTATGAAAGAATTTTATTCAAAAAATAGTTTTAATATTTTCAAAGTATTTCAGCGTTTGCATGTAACTTTGCTGAAATGAAATCTATAATTTTTTTACAGAAGCTGAATTAATCGAAAAAGAACTGATTGAAGTGTAATCTGAACAGACACGTAATGAAGACGTTTTAAGTGTTACAAAAAATAATAAATAAAACTTCAACTAATTAACTTTTCTTTCGATGTACATTTATAATACAGAAAAGCAGGTCGAATTGCGATTAGTAATATTAGTAATAATAACAAAAATAAAAATGTGCGTTTACAACCGTAGTGTTGGGTGTAATGATCCTTTTTCTTTTTGTACTTTGTTACAATGTTTTGTTCGTTTCTAATAAGCAAAAAAATAAAAAATAAAAAAAAATAAAAAAAAATGAAGTAGTAATGTAACTTTGAGAATTTATCAATCTGGACGAGATAGTACATTTTTGTACGTAATTAAGATTAGACAAAATCCCCAAATAGTCTCTATGCTAAAAAAGTATATCATGTAGTTCTGCGCTGAACAAAATACCTAAAAACCTAATTATTATTATTCATATTTTTTTTTTAGTTATAGTACGAAACAAAGTAAAAATCTCGTCTTTTTGTGTGCTTCATAATTAGTGCAATAAGTACACTTTTGTTAATGATAATTTTAGGTCGATTGATTTTAATGATTCGTGAATTCGTGAAACGTAGAGACTTTATTCTCTCATGTCATTATTATTCTCTTTTTTCCTACGTTCACCATCTTAACTATTTTTTTCTCGACTTTCTTGACTTTTCACGGATGTTTCACGAGTCTCGAGGATTAACGATATCCTGTGATATATTTACTATTTTGATATGTTAATGATATACGTAACGTTTACAATTAGCAGTATTTTTTAAGAAAAAAATAAATTAAAAGGTAAAATATTCGAGTAAGGTTTGTGTATTACGAAGGCGTGAAAAAAAGTTTGAGAATGGCTGAATAGAATGAGGAACAATCCGTCAACTATCTGTTTTGCGAGTAAGTTTAGCGAGAACGAACATTTTTTTGTATTATCACACAGCTGATATACAACTTTGTGCTTTTTTTTGGAAATAAATGTTTTTTCTAATGAAATCTAAAAGTTCTTTTTTTTACAGTCAATCGTACACGCCGTCATTTTATTTTTTTTACATTTTTGTGTTTTGTGCTGTCTTTTTTTACACGTTTTCTAAATTTTTTTTTATTTGGTGTGCTCATAATTTTTTGTTTTATTCATGTTTTTCTTTTTCAAAATTTACTCTTCACTCTTTTCTATTATTTAACCGCACCTGAAAAACAGACCATCTCTCTTTTTCTCGTCAATAATTCTCAAACACTCAAAACTGTTAGAACAATCTCGGACTGAAACTACACTCACAGTACTACAAAACGAGACCCCCAAAGACAATTCATTTTGGTAAAAGTTATTCGACACTAACTTTCTACACTTAAAAAAAAAGTCATAAAATCATCGTTGAAAAACAAATAAAACAAAGCACAAAAGGAACACGGAGCATTGCGCCAAATCACTGCATTTTTTGGATGGTACATACATGTAATACATACGTGTGTAAACTGTCAGTGAATATAGCTTTTTTCTTGTATCCCATTCCGCTGTTTTGTCATTCAATGAAAAACAAAAAAAAGCATCATGAAAAAAAATACATGTATTCGCTCTTGCTATATGCACATAACTGGCTGGCGACTAACGCAGCATGCATTGAATGCAGATTCCTTGGCGGTCGGCGTCTCGCTGCTCTCTATTGCGGATTCGTAACCGCGATAGCGACCAACTCTCCTATAACATCCTCTTCTTCCTTTGTCTCTCCCGAAGGAGCTGGCACGTAATGGCGATTTGCATCGTAACTGGAGACTTGCGCGTGTGCTACTTTTTTTTATTTATCGCGCAGTCTCTGTCGCGCTGATGTGATCTTGACAATTACATTTTCAGTCACTTTGACCGACTAATATCGAGAATTGTAATTTACTTGACTAATAAATCCAGCAGTGCTTTGCAACGTTTCCTAAAATTGCATAATCGCAAAAGAATCATTTCCGGAAACTGGCATTAGCCAACGTTAGCATTCGATCTCTCCATCTAATAGCCCGCAAAGCAAACCGCGAAAGCATAAAACAACCGCAACTCAACGCATAACTCGAAGGGCGAAAAGAAAAAATAAAGTAATAAGATGCCGCTGTCTGTTTATCTGTCTCTGTCTTCTCTCTCTCTCTCTCTCTCTCTCTCTCTCTCTCTCTCTCTCTCTCTCTCTCTCTCTCTCTCTCTCTCTCTCTCTCTCTCTTTCGCGCGCGCGCGCGTACGTAGTATTCGCTGCACATGATATCCACACACGTGTCTTGATTGTCTTGATTGTGTTATGTCGTACCATTCTATTTACTAACACCGTCAAATTTGGCGCGCGCTTGTTTGTGGGCGTGATGATCTTGTGCTTCGCGCGTGAAGGGCCTGCAGCAGCGGAGGATGTTGCAGGTGCTATTAGGAGTGGCCTCGCGCCAGCTAAGCCAAGGCGTACGTCAAGTATGAGGGACCAACAGCAGCTTGCAGTAGTCAGCGGGCAAACTCAGGAGCAGTCATCAGCGCAGCTTTCGAGCAGAAGTGGGATTCACAGTAATCCAATGCAGAGGAACGCGATCGATTGGCCGAAGATCTTACCGCTGGATTTTTCGGTAATTGTTCTATTCAACCTCGATCCAGTGGTTGTCGCGCACTCGTCGGATATGTATCTTTTTCTTTTTAATTCGAACCCAACCCATAGCTATCGAGTGACGACCGGACGTTCGAGGTAGATGATACAAATGCAGAACTGCGACAAGGCGTGAATCATCCGAGCAAGTATCCCCTCTCGAAGCGTCAGTCGGACAGCGGTACGCTTGACTCCAATGCCTCCAGTGAATTGAGATTCCAACAGACTTTCTTCGCTAGATCGACCTCACTTCCATATTGCGCCACCGAAAGCGAACTTGAAGCCTATTCGCCTTTCAGCTATCATGGTGACAAGGTACGTTTCAAATTGACTTTTCGTTTTATAAGTTACGTTTCAATTATATTTTTTGATCGTAGAAAGTCACCGAAGACGGAAAAAAAGACGAGGATGCACGAATTGGTAGGCTGAGACAACGCAGGGGTCGAAGTATCGTTCATCACAGTTTGGAAGATAATTATGGGGCAGTTATCGTTGCCAATCACGAAGCGCTTGCTCAATTTTTGGAACAGGTGCGTGTACAATTTTATTGCACGCAAATATCCATGTCTTCCACGTCTATCGCAAACCCCGACTATAAGTTTTGTCGATAGAGTCTTACCGAATTTTCATATCCTATTTCCAGACAAATCAGGCACCTGCAGTGCCACAAAGCCTACGCTTCTTGAAAACAATCAACCTACAATTGCGTTCCTTCAGTATCGATCGTAGCACGGCGGTAACGACAGGTAGGCGGCTATTCTTTTCAGCTGTATGGAACGAACAGAACAACGTGACACTGTGCCTGGCCTTCGACTCATCCATGCGAGTCGCACAAAAGGAATTTTACCTTGCACCGATCGTCGAATTCATTGATACTGTACCCAAGGATATTCTAGATTTAGGACAGAATATAGCGAAGAAAAGTGCAGAAGGTAACGAAAAAACAATGAAATAACGAGTTTTTTTCGATGAGATTTCAAATTACACACACGATTTTTCTTTACAGCGACAATTTCTGTATTACCTCGATTGCAAATCAATACACTCAAATCGTTTGCCGAATCAGTCACTGTAGAGAATAGCAACGACGAGAATGCTACAAGAGAATCATCCTTTATCTTACTGCAACTGGTCAATGCTTTGAAAAGCTTGCAAGCGCAAGGCATAGAAGACGCCCCAAAAGATTTAAACAATATTGTACTGTGTCGTGAAGATAAAGATGCTTACCATAGGCTCTACGTTTTTCAAAGGTAAGTAACTTCAATATTTGTGATTAGCGATTCATTATTCGTTCTATTATTAATCATTCAAATTTTATTCTAGATTGAGCATAGACAGTTGCGAAAATGACAATGTAGAATATACCTCGCTCTGTCAGTGCGCATTTTACGCTCTGGATCAGCTCAATTTGTCAAAGAAGCTACCGCTAATACGGGAGCTACTCATGCGTGAAAAAGCCGTTACGTTATCACAAGTAAATATTTTGAAAGATAATTTTATATCTGAATAGATCAGCACAATTAATAAAATCTTACAAACTTAATCCACCTGTAGGTCAAATCCGTGCTAGAATTCTCACTATGGGGCCCGTCAGATGCAACTCTGGGTGGACCACGCGAACGCGAAACAGCACTTCAGCGATGGCTGGACTTAGAGCGAGCAACGGTACTGCACGCGCTGGTCCGCGCGCGAGCTCAGCTCTCCGTCACCGACGAATACCAATTACTCTTCCTCGTACGCACCAGTGCTAAAATCATGTGCGAAGCTTCGCTGCTACTCGACCGCCAACGTAATGGATTTCTCACGCGTGGTAGCTAATCTCACTTTTGAACAAGTCTGATATGAAATCAAAAATACAATTTGCGATTTTAGGCGATACGTTAATACTCATTTTGAACAAAAATCTTAATCAAATTTATTTTGCACTGTCTAATAATTCTTTTTTGTTTAAAGGCATATGCTTTAGTCGTTTCGAAAATGCCATAAACTTTATTAGTCTTTTATGAAAATTAAATCAAACTTAAATAAAAGTCAGTTTGAAACTGACTGTTAACAAACTTTTCAATACTCTATGTTTAAGTTATTGTTTTGTTATAAAACGTTATTTTTATAAGAATGATTAAAATTTATTTTCTTATAAAAAAGAACTAAATGGTAATGTTATGTTTCATACTTGCTAATGTGAAAATTGTTATGATGGAGGGTTAAGACTACTATTGAAAAATGTATATTTGTAGTGTTGAGGTCAATATTGTATAATTACATGAACTAAAGATTTATTTATAATTAGAAAATTTTCGTAATAAAATAAAAGCTATCTTGCCATAATATGTCAGTACTTTTCTTTTATTTTACTATCCATTATAGAAGATTCTAATAATATTCACCTGATATTATTTAAAGAGAAAAATATGTTGCTGTAATAATTGAACACAACAAATTTGTCTCACCTGACGGAATAATTTAGTTTTTATTGTTAAAAGATCGTATTTTTGAATGAATAATAGTCAGAACTAAAAATAGTTAGAATTTGTTTTATGACATTATTTTTTTAGATAATGTTCTAAAGATCATAATAAAAAAATAAAAGTGTATATATTGAGAAATAAGAGATGGATACGCGTAGTGAATATAATAAGCTAACATTTATTAGAGATTTTCAAAAGAAACGTATAGAAATAATTCGTACGCTCGGATAATAGCATTCTGATTAATTATACGACCCCCGCTTACTTTTCCAATCATCCATTCGAGGAGAAAAGGATGCCAGGTTCTCCGTGTCTTCCGAAATATCGGGGGCTCTACGCTAACGCTACCAGTCAACATATACACACCATATTATTAAAAACATTAATCATCTGCAAAATTATATTTGGAGATAATGTCATATATTTTGTCAGTGTAGTCACCATTGAATAATCACCGTTTCTCTGCAAAGTCGCGAACAGCATAAATGAAATCAAACGATTACTTCTGATTGCGTTTCAAAGAAACTGTGCACACTTTACACTTAGGACAATACCATTTGCCTTCGGGAGCTATAGTCAAATTAACACAAGCGTAATGAAACCATTCGTACGAGCACTGCAAAACGCAAAGTTAATTTAATGAAGCACTTGGGTATGTAAAAATGTAGGAAAAAGGTAAGAACGATGCTTTTAATTTCTCTGGATTAAAATGCGTTTGAGAAAGGCAGGATACTTACGAGATCGTTATCGCAGGCGATCATATTTCCATACGATACTTGATTGCAAATACAATAGCGCGTCGGATCATAGACAAAATTAACGTCGGCGTCAATAGGTACGTTGCTACTTAGCAAAATACCATTGTCCACCTGGAGTGATGCAAAATCGAGGGGCAGCTGTTGCTCCTGCGTGAAACCTAAATCGGTAATCGGTGCTCCCGACAGGCGTGCTGCTCTTTTTCTGCACGTCAACAAAAACCCAATGGTCGTTACGCGTTACCGAAGCTTGTTATTGCTATTACTCACTTGTCTTTCTTTTTCGACTTGATCCTCTTTTCCTTGCACGTACGCGCCTCGCTCTCAACGGCACTGTCCATCAGAGCTCTCTTTTCAATGACTGCAGTGATCCCTGGACTGTCCGCTTCCAAATCAACTTTAAACTTGCCTATCTCGCGATCGAGCTGCTCGAGGCGCCTCAACAGGAGATGGCGCAATCTTTCCGCTACGTTCACTTTCTCGCCTGCATCTTCTAAGATTTTTTTGAAATCTAGCATTATCGATGTGAATACCGTAATTCGCTTTTCCGTTTTCATTTTTCGTGCATTTTGGAAAAACACATCAGATCTTTTGCTCTGCTCGTCCATTGCATCTATTCATTTATTTATAACTTTTAAGATTTTTCGTCGAAAATTCTAGATTTCATGAAAATAGCAGATTGTCTTACTTTGCACGCCTAAATCAAGTTCTCTGATGGTAGTTAACATGTCCCGTAATTCCTCAGGGAAATTTTCAATTGCTAAAATCGAAATTGTGCGAACGTAATTTAATTTGGCGAATTAAATTTTGTATAATTTCCATTCAAATTTACAGCTTGAAAAGTTGGTCATAAAATTATGAACAAATTAATGTATTTAAAAAAATAATTATTTTTATTAGGATCTATTTACCTTCAATAAAATCGTCTAAATACAGCATTTTCAATTTATTTTAAAATCCAATTGATATAGTTGGTTCTGTTATGTCAATCTACATACGAACAATGATAAATATAACTGGTATTATAAATCAATAATTAGGTTATATTATTGAAATTTTGTTATTTCATTTAACAACGTATAACAGTACTGTTATTTTGGTGGCATTGTGCCATTCACGTTTATTTTGATTCTCAGAAAATAACCAATAAATATGAAAATGAATCATTTTGTTTAATATAACAATAAGATTTATTAATTATTTAATTTATTAAAACAGTCAACGATTAAAAGGTAAACCGTGATATTTTTATATTTTTCTACAGCAAGATATACTACGTCGTACCACGCGTATAAGTATAATGTATATACATTCCAAAACAATATATATATTTTTTTAGTGTATAAATAATTCGCTTCAATTTTACTTTGATTGATAAATTTAATAAAGTTAAATTAATAATATTCAACTAACAGAACATTTCACGCGATATTATTTTGCTGCAATTATAATTACTGTAGAAATTATTAGAATATGTAGAATTAGACTCTAAGAAGCAAATTTAATTTGTTTAATATAAATTATATTTATTTTGTTGGATATAATGCAATTTCATTTTAAACTTGGTGAAATACTTGATCAGTTTGTCAATTGTTTTCTTTACAATATAAAAAAAGAACATGTACAATGTTCATTTGATATTAAAATGAGCATGACATTAAAAATAGTTATAATACAGGTCAAATAGTTGTAATATGATACATTAAAAACCAACACCAACAAAATTCACTGTAATATGATTGTAATGAATGAAAAGAATGAATTACAAGACAAGACTAATTTTATTTATTTAAATAAAATTGTTATTAATCTAAGTTTCATTTACCTATTGCAATAAGTTTCGTCTATATGGTTACAAAATTAATTCACTGTAACTAAGTTTTCATAAATGTTCTTATAAAAATAGAAAAAAATTTCAGCTGTATATCATTAGACCAAGCACAAATAGTAATCTATCGTTTTTTGAAGCCAAACTTTTTTCTCTCGTAGAATAGATCAGTTTTGGAGCTGCCAAGATTAACAATTTTCGGACATCCATCTCTCTAGAAAAATAATAAGTAATTTAAGTATACTGAATAAAATAATGAAAAAAGAAACGAATTATACGTATCACCTACGTCTTTCTCTTGAATAGTACACTCCTTACAGTAATATGCGTCAGACACACCAGGTCCACCACAAATAACGCAACGGCCTTGGTATGATCCGTAATTGCATTCGTCGCATATACGTACTAATGTGCAAGGTCTCACGTATGAGTCGCAAACTACGCATTTGCCATCACATTTCTCGCAAAGCCGACCAATAGCTAAAAAAACATTTTATTAAATTAAACGTACTGTCGTAGTGTACATCCCATCGATCAAAATATTTACGATTTACGGTAATTAACAACAGTACGAGGTAGTAATGAATGAACTTACCAACTCCAGGTTGTTTGCGGCAGAAAATCAAATCAGGATGATGCTTCGCCATCGCAAAATATTCGTTTACACGTGTTGTTGCTGCTGCTTAGTAAGACTAACCTTTCAGACAGGTCAACTGCTGTTTACGCCAACCGTGCTGCTGCACCGCCGGCATACAAGCGTTCTGCTTCTACTTACTTCAGTGTATATAATGCGCGCGCAACTAAATCCGATAGAAGCGCGCGCTGAGTGGGCGCGAAATAGGAAACTAGCTGCGAGGCAACAGCGAGTGCACCTTTATAACTGATTCAAGCGAATATACTTTGCTGTTTAGAGTGGTATTGTTAGAGGGATTAAAGCACTGATACTTTTATAGCATTTCACGTTCTGAAAATTTGAAGCTCAATGGTAAGGTATTAGTCTAATTAATATTTATCGACAGTTATGTAATTCGAGCAAATTTGTCGAACCACGTAAAACGGTTAAAAATTATGACATTCACTTAGCTTTTGAAAAAATTGCATGCTTTTTTATTTTAAATTACAATAATAATAATAATGAAATAAGCAATTTCGAGCGTAAGAAGAGTCGATCATACATGAATGTTGTTAATAAACATCAAAGTTTGTTTGTGCACTGTTTATCGAGATTTATAGTATCATAGCTTAACTTGTAACGTATAAAAAAGTAAAAGTTGTAAACTAATTAATGAAAATAGTCATTTGAATTTCTAAACGAAATTATTGTTATAATGCTAAAGTAGTTTCTTACTTTATATTACCAGCAATCTTTATATTCTTAATTAATTCCATTATTATTGGATTATATTAAATGAAATTTTTGCACATTTTAAAAATATTTAATGACCAATAATTATATTATGCAGACAAATACGATGTTGTCTATAGTAATTAATAAGGGTGAATCTTACTATATAAATGAATAGAACATCGCATCAATGAATTTCAATTATTTTATCAGAAAAATAATACAGGTAAAATATTTCATCAGTATAAAGAACAAAATTGAGAATTCTCATTTTTCCGGATGCGCAATTCCAACATTGAGATTTGAACTTGAATTTGAAGTTGTCAGGAAAAATGCAATAAAATTAATCTTTGATACAACTAATTAGTCTTTTGATGTATAAAAATAAATATTTAATTATATTATAAATAGTTGATTGTAGATATTTAGTTTTTGACGGCTAAAAAAATTCGTGATCAATTTGAACTAAGATGAGTATTAAAAACACCACTAAATACAAAAATGATTCGATGTACATTCATTCGATATCTAGATTTACGTGATAATTCAAAAAGTTTATCAAATAAAAATGTAAAGTTAGAGGAAAAGTAGATTCCATAATGAACCATTGCAGGTATAACATCAATTAAGTGCCAAAAGCTTTTGACTCCATTTAGTTATTCAACAACGGACCTTCGTATTGGGCGTCGCATACGTTACACTCTGGGCAGTACCAGTTTCCTTCGGGAGCTGCCTTCAAATTAACGCAATTGTAATGAAACCATTCAGATTTGCACTGTAAAATAAAGCATTATTTATACCCTATCAGTACATACGAATCAACATAATGAAAGTGTTAAATGAGAATCTTCTTACCGACGGATTGTCACAAGCTACCATTTCTCCGTAGGCTACCTGGTTACAAATACAGTACCGTACAGGGTCGTAAATCAATGCACCGTCATTAGGTAAGACGGTAGGTTCAACTTTTAGTGTAATAATGGTTGTGTTGATGTCTACATTTTCTTTATCTTGTTCAATATAAAAAATTGGATCTGACGCTTTTGGCAACTCTTCGTCAATATCAGGTAATGTTAACGGACTTTTTCTAGCTTTCCTGTAAAAGTAAACGAAAAGTATGGAAAAAGTAATTTAGGAATATTCGACTTGTACAAACAATCGATTATTTTAAACACGTACTGACTTTTTCTTTTTCTTCGATTTCTTCTTTTTCTTTGACGCAGATTTTAAATTTTCCTCTCTGGCTGCAATTTCACTTTCAGCTACTTTTTCTTCGATCACAGAAGTGATTCCTGGATTATAATTGTCCAAACGGATTTTGTATTGCTCTATTTCAATATCAAGTTGTTTTAGGCTATTCGCCACAATATTTTCAAGTTTTTGTACAATGTTAACTTTTTCATCCGCGTCCTCAAGAATTTTCCTAAAAGATGCCATCAGTGATTGGAATATGGATTCTCGTTGCCTAGGTTCACTGTTATCAGCTCCACGAAAGAATGCTTCAGAGTCGTCCATCGTTTCATCCAATGCATCTAGAATACAATATAACATTACCATGTTGAATTAAATGTATTTCGTAATAAAAGGATTTTTCAATTCCTTACTTTGTACGACTAAATCGAGCTCTCTGATATTAACAAGCATATCCTTTACTGTTATTGGTAATTCTTCGATTGCTGAAACAAATTTTGCAGTATTTATTTACACGCTTGACACTAGTAAAATAAGAAATTTGTTTCAATACTGATAAACTTACATTCAAGTAAATCATCCAAATGCATTATGTCTTGGGTCGACATATTAACCCACTATTACCTATGTAAATTCAGTTTTGAAAATTTAGGTGTATTACACCAGTATAGTAATTCGAGAGACACACTCTATTCGTACGTGCATAGTGAGGGACGAATATTATATCCAGCTGTTGCAGCCAATTTGCAAACTGGGTGAGGATATCAGTTAATGGAATTACCAAAATTAAACGGAACTGCCGTAATTCCATTAAGCTTCTAAGCGTTTCACCAATACATTTTACAAAGTTAACGAATTACCTACACTTAAAATAAGTTTGTGTACTTGTTACAGAAGAAAGTTTTGGACTTATATTAATAATTTAATATCGTAATATGTATGGGCCATTGAACCTATAAAAATAAAGATCAGAAACAGTTGTTTGTCGTCAAGCAAGTTAGTTATTGTTTGTTTGTCGTGATAACCAGACGTGCATTTACGGTTAATAAAGCAGTCTTTTGTACTTGTGTCGTTATTATTTCGATAGCGAGGTATAGGGGATGATGAATTTTCAGCGTTTCGCCCGGGACTATAAAGATAACAAGGCGTAGACGCTTTCACGCCGTTGGACCAAAGTTCGGCGCCTGCATTTCATCGTGGACGTAAGCAATTAAATGAGCATTAATACGAAAATAAAAAATATATACACATATGAATTATCATTTGACTTGAAATATTGATTTTGTTTAACAACAATTGTATTTGATTCTGTTCTGTCGTAAATTACAAGTTCAATGATTATTCATTGGAAATTTGTGTATATTTATAATCATGAAAATAGAAATAACAGATAAATCATAAAAATTAGTTATCCTATAGTTTACGCTAATAAACAATTCAATAATAGAATATACAATTTATTTCATTAAATTAATTTTATTATTTTTACATTTTACATAGTTTTAAATAATATAAAAACATTTACAAGTTTGATACATAATTAACTGACGATATTTTTGTATATGGATCAAAGTATGAAACAGTTGATTAAAATAATAATAAAACTATTAGTTCTTTATGAAATTTGAGAAAATTATACATCTTTTCTATGAATTATTCCCATCAATTTCGATCCAAAGAAACTTTACAAACCATACACTTTGGACAGTACCATTTGCCTTTGGGAGCCGTTGCTACATTCACGCAAGCATAATGAAACCATTCATATGGACACTGAAATATAAAACAACAGTTTTTGAATTACTTCTAATTAATTTTGTACGAGTATAAATTACGAAAAGAAAATATCTGCTCACAAATTCATTATCGCAAGCAACCATATCACCAAACGCCTGTCTTTGACAAATACAGTAAAGTGACAGATCGGCAGTGGCACTTGACTGAGCATTTGACGCAACAGCAATTTCGTTGTTATTTACTTCCGAAGCGAAAACTGTTTGTCGCTGTGTCATTTCGGACGTTCCACTAATTGTCAGTGTTGATGTACTTGTCGTTTTCTTCCTATAAAACAAAATACATGCTGTTATGATTTTTTATTTTAAAATTTACTTGTAATCTAGGTGTGCACACTATGTGTTCTGAATATCGATGCTGGCTGTATAAGATTATAATGTTCAATAACAATCAATTTAATAAATTACTTCTAACTTGCTTAAATTTATCATTCACTTCAGTAAGTCCCAATAACAAACAATTAGTAGATACGAGTGAATCAATTGCTCGATAAAATAAAATAAAATATTTGATGAAAAATTTCAAATTTTCCTATTAAACTCTTACGTTATATGTGCAAGATAATCAAATTTCGAAATTTCGAACGTCGACTGATCGGTCACAATCGTTACTTTTCGAAACTTTCTATTTTAAGATAAAATTTAATCGAATCAATTTCTAGGTTCACTTACTTTTTATTTGATTTTAACCTTTTTACTGTCTTCAATTTGGCATTGATCCTGTTACTTGCAAAATAATCATTTTGCAATACTCTTTCTTGAATACTTTGAATGACTTCAGAATTTTCAGCTGCCAGTTCAATTTCGAACGCCGCTATCTCTCGATCTAATTGCTCTAACCGTTCGCTCAACATATTCTGCAGCCGCCCAGCAATGTCAACCTTCTCATCTGCAACCTTTAGTATATTTCCAAAATCCGATAATAATGATTGAAATACAATATCTCTCGTGTCCGAGTTCAACGTTAAGGCATTTTGGAAGAACATATAAGTATGTCTCTCCTGTCTGTCCATCGAATCTACAATAACATTGAATACATTGAAGTGATTTTGTTTAAGAAAAATGTCTCGCGTTAACTCACTTTGCACAACCAAGTCGAGCTCTCTGATGGTCGTGAGATCATCTCGCAACCGGCTTTGTAAATCTGCATTTGCTGAAAGAAGTGTTCATTGCCGATCACCAAATCGCAATTTTTAATAATGGCTTCTTTTTATTTACCTTCGATAAATTTCTGCAAACGTAGCATCCTTCTATGGCGTCAAATTGATTACAATAATTACTAGTATCAGCAGCTTCAACCTAACCGAATCAAATGCAATAAATACATGTCGCTTGAACACTTCAAATGTGATTCAACTTCAATTCGACATGAAATAAACACTATGGTGAAATGATAAATCGAAATTTCGTAACAATAATGTCAACTCACCAGAAAAAATTGATGACATTCAGAAAAAGGCGCCAACGACAGATAACGTAGCTAGAAAAATAATAAGCGACAGCGATGTGTGATTACAAATATTTCGAAAATTAAACGATGGCGCGAGACAATTTTTCAATTCCAATTGTTTTTTGTTCTGCTGCGAATGCTCCGCGTCTTGAGTACAAATGTTTCGTTTTTCCTTGCTTCAAAATAGCTCGAAAAGAGTTCGCTTATAAAAGCACCTTCGATTTCTGAATCTTGAAAATCTGAATGATAGATACTAGAGCCGCTATTGAATGGTAATTTGAAAAAGCTCTTGAATATCCCTTTACTTTCTCTGAGACTGGCCGTTTGTTTTGTTCACGTCCGTTATAGTACGTTACCACGTCGTCTTTGGCAAAGCCGTGTTCTCAAGCATCAGTAATGTCTTCGTAACGGGATTCGTAGGTAGTAGTATGAGGTTCGGTTTATGCAACTGAACGCGGTTTCTCACTCGAAGAACTGTTTATTTCTTTCGTCACATTTGAACTTCCATTACGAGATTTAAGTCGAGAGTAAGCCAGTAACACGGTGAACAATTCTCTGCGAACCACACAACAGTTGCTTGAATACGCTTAATATGTTTTCGATGTTGATAAGGGTTATGACAATTATTTATAATAATTTAACAACTTTGACAAATCGGAAGAATTATCAAAAATAAATTGATCAAGGACCAGAACTCAAAACTGTTCAATAAAATTTACGATGATTTAGTAAAGTTTAGATGTAATTCATATAAAATAAAATGCAGTACAATAAAGTAAAATGAAAACATGAAATAAGTAATGTGTCAATGAAATTTAATTTTTAAAAGTGTGGACCGAAAATTTTTGTACTGTATATTCAAGGTTTACTGATCGTATTGTGATATTTCGCAGTATATACATTGTAATTAAATTGTTACGTATTAATGCATAATGTAGTAGATATTTACATATATAAAGCGCTTTTGCTAGATTTGTGCGATGTCCGAAGTACGCGATCGATATAATTACACATGTATATATGTAAAGGGTACAATGCTGCAGCTCGTTAATATAACATTCTGACGATATTCGGATATCTTCCCCCTGGAAAAGTTCAGAGCCTTTCGATCGATTAACCGACGGAAAAACTCTCCCCTCAACCTTAGTTTCAACATCGTAATGTGCGAAAATAAATACTTACACTCCTAATGCCTTCGTGTAGATGGTGTTGATGTTGATGTTTTGGCATACGGAGGAAGAGAGAGAGAGCTAAACATTTTACGAAGCGGCTTTTTACTGGTTAAGCCTTCATACTGATCACTACATCTGAACAAGGAACCACGCAGAGAATCTAGCCTCCTTTAACTCAAGTTCTTTGTTCGTACAAACTGATTTTCCTTCGATTCATCGTGGGACAATCACATTAGCAAAAGTAAGATTTTGCATTATTAAATTTCTAGGCGTATTTCGAGTAGCGATATTTCAAGTTGTATATAAAATAGATTTAATTACCATAATGTTATAGTCGATTTTTAAAGTGAAACTTCATTGTCATCTTACTACGCAAAACAGCTGATTTATTTATCGTAACTTGCGATAGAAAAGTCGATGTCCCTATTGCGTTCATCATAATCGCGTGTTTACGCTGACTACTTTTCGAAATTTCGTCCCGAGAGGAACAATGATGCATTGAATCTTGGCACAAACGAGATTGCCAACATTTGTTACTCCGCGCTACGAAGCAACCAGTTTGTAAGTGTGTTTATATTTTCGCACTTTTCTTTTGTATATTGGCGATCGCAATAAAATCGAGCAGGCGCTACATTCAACAGTCGCATTTACTTTACATGGATTAATGGCTGACTTAAAGTGAATATTTTTACCTCAGACAGCTACCAAGTTTCACCGTTATCTGTGACCGTTGGGCGCTGCAGTCAAGTTTACGATCGTGGATACTGGAATGTCAAAATAGCCTCATTCAAATGGCGACCTCGCACCAAAATGTAATTTTACGTGCTACTCAATCAACTTGATTGTTTTTATTTAACATCAGGCTTGATCGCGTTTCCTTGAACGGTTGTTGTTGATATCCTACTGCATTCTAACGTTAGCATAAACACACTTTAGCAAGATGCATCGAGGAATTATTTGAAAATCTTTATGCACGAAATGTGCGATTCGAATAAATTTATAACTTGGAATAACAGCTTTTTCATAACAATGTATATTTCAATATGAATAGTTTTAATTAATAAGCTGAAAGACTTTAACGTAAATAACTAACTGCATGATAATGTGTTTCTAGTCGGAAATTCAAAAAAATGAACGGAAAACAGGGTACGACGGTGAAGCCAGCACCTACTGATCCTGGATCAGCAAATGGAGGTAAAGTAAAATTCAAGTGTTGTAATTAACAAAAAAAGCTCCGAGCCTCGTTCTACTCCGTTGTATACTTGGTTAGATGAACAATGAACGGGGAAATTTTTTTTCGACGATCCTCGAATGACAATAGTAATTTGGGTACTTGAACAGTTGCCGTCGATAAATATTTAGATTCACGCAAAAATTCAATAACCGACCATGCTTTCTAGTTGCTGTTCATGCTTGTTTCTACTACAATTATTATAGTACTACAATTATTATAGTGCATGCTACGATCTATAAATAAAGTAAATCTTCGAAGAGAGACAAAGTTTCCCCATTCAGATCCCTAAAAGTGTAGCGCGAGAGTTTATCTGATGAATTGAAACTGTGTAATCATACTATAAAATTCGATTGAAGATAACGAACTTTCAAAAATGTATGTTTATATCATTTATTTAAAAATGTATATTTGTTATTAACATTTTAATTTCATCAATTTCATAGATGCAAAGTCAGATAGTATTGAACAGTCTATAGAGATGGGTATTGCGTGTTGTAAATGGACAATAAAACCAAACACAGTTAAAATTGCTGCCGGCGAAAATAAAGTGTTAATGTCGCCGACACTGCCGATAGAGAATAAAGGGGGGATAACTTTGTGGCGAATAAAATTAGGGCTGAATAACTTGAGCGATAAAACGCCGCAACTACTTCACCAAATTCACATAACTGTTGTCAATGTAGATAACCATGATGTTCGATGTCGATACAGAGTCAGAATATTTGATGGTAAAAATGCTCTATGGTATGATGGGATTGATAAAAACCAAACATTCGATGACATTAAAGAGAGAAAGGAAGTACTATCAAGCACGGAGGCATATGATCTTTCAGCAATTACCGTATTATTGTCTGTATATTCTGACGAGTAAGTGTAAAATAAAGTTAACGAGGTAGCAAATAAACAAATATTAACTAAAAATAACGATTCCGTTTATAACAAGATAATTATTGTTCAATACTCTTTGCGAGTGACCCCCAAAATTTAGTTACTTCTCGAATCCGACGATCTCCCAAACTCATTGTTACAATTTGCTTGCTAAACTTATATTTGCTTACAAAATTTTCAATTGTTCATCACAAAACCATAACTGTTGATAATGGCTATATTTTATTCACCTCCTATCAATTTGTCTAAATGTAGCATCTTTCAGTATATGTATAAAGTATCAAAAAGATTCCCAAGGCACGTATCCGCAACTTTCATCTAACCAAAATAAAGAAATTTGTATGCAATGTAAAAAGTATGTTTCGCTATTACGCAACAAATATTTGAGTCAATTTCAACTCACCAAAATAGAATATCAGCTAATTTAACATTCAGAAAAAACTAAGAACGTCGGATAATGTAGTCGGCAACATAACAATACTTCATTACAAGTATTTTGATAATTATAATGATGTTACAAAATAAATTTCCCAATTCCAATATTCTTTTACTTTGTTGCGTATGCTCCAGGAATATCCGTTATGTTTTTCATTGTTTCAAAATAACTCGGGAATAGGCACATTTTGCTTAAAAATGCATCTTTGATCTCTGGATCTTGAAAATCTGAATGATATGTGCTAGAGTCCCCATTGAATGGAACTTTGAAAAAACTTTTGAATTTCACTTTATAAACATTCTCAGGGACAGGCTGTTTGTTTTTCTCTCGTTTGTTATAATATGTTATCACGTCGTCTTTGGCAATGCCGTTTTCTCGAGCACTAGTAGTGTCTTCGTAATGGGATTTGTAGATAGTGATATAAGGTTCAGTGTATTCAATGTAACACAGTTTCTCACTTGAAGAACTGTTTATTTCTTTTGCCACATTTGAACTTTCATTACAAAATTTTTCCAGCATTTTCGTTTCATACGATCCTGACGGATCCTTGTAATGTAAACCTTAATTAAATGAACAAAAGAAACACGAATTCATATAACATAAGCGTAGCTTTAATATTTGATTATTGTTTCAAGACAAACAAATTAATTCTTTTAACAATCAGCTTAATTGACAATTTATTGCAAACTTATGTTGACAAAACAAATACTTAATGGTTAATTTTACAATGAAATCTGAATACAAACCTGAAAGCGTTCTGTCATATTTCAGAAAGGTAACAGGTTTACATTTATATTCATCATAAAGATTTTTCAAAGTATGTGTAGAAATCAAATCAAATTTCCCGTAGAATTCTACAATTTTTTCAGTCGACTTTTTTACATCGTAATGGTGACGATAAGTCGACGATTTTTTCTTTAATATTGGATCACTATAATACAATTCTGGTCTGAATAATGGTCTTCCCACTGCAAAATTTAAATTTTGCAAATTTTCGTAGTAATGCGTTCGCTGATACGAAGTTTTGAAAAAACTCTCATTGTTTCTAACTCCAATTTTTGTACACATGATTTTGACATTAACCTTGTTTTTTATTGCAATCGTCTATTTGCAAACAGTTAATTTGTCATCGAATATTATTGAAACAAGTGAAATCGAATTTATTTACACTATTTACCCATACGTTTATCTAATGTTAGAATGTACTTCTTTTATACATTGAATATTTTATTTTCAAGTCTTATCACCTTTTTTCATTCACTATACATTTAATAAGCGTCATATTTTTTCGATCAAATTACATGTTTTGTTGATGTTATAGAATGAAAAAAAGAAACAAATAAATCTTGTAATAATTCCGTAAGCTAAAAAAACCACTATAGTCTCCGATTTCTATTTTAAAAACATCGTAAACGCTTTAAAACCTCCTTACCATTCGAATCTCGGCATTATCAACAGAGAAAAAAGTCAATAAAATGCAATGATCGTGAACACTGTTCATTCACGAGCGACAATTAAAATAAAAGAGATACATCGTCCTTCGTCTCACTTCAGCGCTTATATCACTAATAATTCGCAAAATATTATCCTACCTAGTTTTGCCGCATCGACGATACTAATAACGTATCGCAGCGCGTCGATTAAAAACTTTATATAAAAATTGTATCATTCGTAGAGTCGGCTGCTCAGCTAACTAATTATTTAGAACACTCTCTTCCTGAACGAGCGAAGAGAGTTGGCGAAGAGGTAGTAGCGATACGTAGTACCGCTGCAGATTAACAAAAAAAGCGTATTTAGTTCTTTCGGTTGCCCCGGCGCTTCATGGAGGACGTGCACTGTGGGCAATACCATTTGCCCTTCGGCGGCGCGGTTATATTTACGCACGGGTAGTGGAACCACTCAAACGGACACTAAAACAAACAATTACAATTCTCATTAATTAACAAATAATTGTAGGATTTTGAACTCTTCATTTAATGAAAAGACTTCAAAGTAAACCTTTCTATTTTGAATTTTGATTGACAACTTACGTCTGCGTTATCACACGCAACCATATCTCCATAGGACACTTGATTGCAAACGCAGTATCGTGGTTCGTTAGGATCGTAAGTCCAGTCAGGGTTCTCGGCATCAGCAACGACGGTCGCTTGAGCGCCGGTCGCCGCACCCGCGACATGACTGACGTTGATCGTTCCACCGACAGCTTGTAGTGCTGCAGCTGCCGCGGCAGCCGCTGCTTGCGCTGCTGCCACTACCGATTGTTGCAGCTGTTGTTGTTGTTGCACTTGATGCGTCTGCACTTGATGCTGTGCTTGCTGTTGTGCTTGATGAGACTGGTGCTGCTGCTGCGCCGACGATGGCATCACACTAGCGTTTGGTACGCTAGCCGATGTTACTTTTCTGAAATTAGAGTTGAAAATTAGCTTTTTTGTTTTTGTTTCAAGAATTACTTTCAAAAATTGCAGGCTGCAGAAATTATCAAGATTGTATTGCTTAAATAAACATCATATTTAGTATCTAAAATTATTTAATTTTTTTTCAATAATTTTTTTCATGATAAAATATTTAGTCTATCTATCTATCCTCTAGTTTGGTATAAGGCTACGTAATTTTAACGTCAGAAAAAGCGAATAAATAAAAAACTTTTTATAAACATTGTTGAGCTAATGAGAAAGAGAAATTATAAATCAATATTTGCCGTACTCAAGTTTTAGAAAAATACGAGTAATACCAAATATGATCAACAAATATACTCATCCCTCGAGTTCTCGCAAATGTCTTTCTTATTAATCAAGAGATATTCTAGGAAGTAATCAGAGTTTAATTTTCAAAATAAATCCATCAAATTCTTCTTTAGCAAAACCTCTTTCTACCTACCTTATCTTTGTTTAAATCATAATCTCTCTTCCGCAGAATACTCACTTCTTATGCTTTTTCGAGGATTCCTGAATAGCCGCGATGGCGGTTTGCGCGGCTCCGGCAAGTTCCCTACTGAATTCGGCAGCGTGTACACCACCCGTATTGATAGCCTCATAGCTTGCTTTCAAGCTGGCCGTTCGCCTGCCTTGCTGCATATGCTGTGTCGCGGCAATGGCTTGTGATGCAGCAGCTGCTATGGCATTACCACCGGCACCTATGTGACCAAGATTATAACTGACAGGCCCGACGGAATTAGCCAGACCGCCGCCGCCGCTGCTTGGTGCTGTCGCGGGTAATGGCGATGGTGGTACTGACAATGGACCTGAGTTTACTGTCGTCGGCCGATTTGGCTCCGGAAGACTACTGCTGGGTGTGACGATTTTCTCGGGGGCCAAACGCTTCTCGATCGATGTCGATGAGGCGTTCGAGTCTCTTCGCTTTTCCGATCGAGCTGCAAATAATTACAATAATTTTAGGCATTACTAAAGTAATAACAAGATGTCAATAACATCGTAAATTTTGATAACTTATAAAAAGCTTACAAATCTTTTACATTCTAGATACAGGTAAGTTACCGTCTTGTGTAACTCCCATCGTGTTTGCATGTTGCAATACATTTTAGCGCGTGTTGTTTTTCATTAATGTAATCAGGCGAAAAAGGAAAAGGATGTAAGCATGACAAGCTGATTAGTGTGCAGTAAATTTTGAATATACCCATTAATTTTATGTATACATATTACGAAAATTGAAATGTACAATTTTTCAGCCAAATAATTAATAAGTAAATACAATATAAAACAGTTATTATATTAACATCTAATAAAACTCTTGAAGAAACATTTATTTATTATTCAAAACGGATGTTAATATAAAATAAATTGGATTCCTGTTATCATTTCGATTGGAACTAAATTTGCAATGCAAATGGAAAAAATTTAACACATTATACTTACAGTGACTGTGATTGTCTCTAGATCTACTAGTACTAAAACTATAACGATTTTCTTTTTGACTGCTATTCGTTTGTGGCTGATCAAGCTCCAAGGACCTCTTTTCTAAAATTTCTGTGATGCCTTTGTTATCTGCTTCTAATTCCATTTTAAATTTATGTGTTTCTTGATCTAGTCGCCTAAGATACCTTTCTACCAAGTCTTTCATTTGTTCAGCAAGATGTACTTTCTCATCAGCATCATCTAAAATTTTGTAATATTCCTGCCTTATCGATTCATATTCTACATCCCTATCACTCTGCTTCATTTTTTTGGCATTGGTAAATAGTTTTTCTGCTTTTTCCTCTTGCCGGTCCATTGCATCTAAAGACAAATTGATAATGAAAATAAATTATGGAAAAATTTCGAAATATCAATTTAGAATACAAACTGACTTACTCTGAACTCCTAAATCCATTTCTCTCATTTCTGTAAACCTATCTCTCAATTCCTGTGGGAGATGTTCAATCACTGTAAATAAACAATAAATTGTTCAGCATATAAACATAGTCTTCTGAAGTTCATTCAAATAATTAAAATATCGAAATGTTTTAAAAAAGTTGGCAAAAGCTTGCTAACCAAATGTATGTATTCAAGTGAAATGATAACAAAAACAAAATGATTAACAAAAACATAGAAAAGTATTCATTGAAAATGAAATCGGTCATACAAAAAATATAAAACTAACCTTAAAATTTTTTACTGAAATTTTAAAGATAAATTATAAAACCTGTTGTAAAAAACATTTCTAATATATTAGTATGTATTAAAATAAAGAAAAATTTTTATTTTAATAAAAATATTGACACAAAATAAAAATTTATAATGTATTCAATGTGGCCCGCCAACAAATTTTCATTCAAAACACAAAATTTTAGTACATCAAATACAACAAGTTTGTAACGTAAAGTGGGGATAAAATGCACTCACTCTCAACGAAATCTTCCAGATAAAGCATCTTAGGATCTGTTTTCAATTTACAGTGTATTAAACAAATATTTATTTACTAATATGATCTAGAGACTAGCGTGGTCCTCACCGCGTCACTGCCCGCAGAATACTGTGCTTTCAACATAGTCTACCGCTTGCCCAGCGCGTCGCGCCCTCTTCGTGAGTTTATAACCTAAAAAGTCAACCCAGCAGGTCGCAAGCCGCCTTTTTGCTTTTGAGTAAGTCGAAGTTTTTTAATTTGACAGCTAAAAATATATTATTTAAGTTGTTCACGTTACTCGTTGGCATTTCAACATCTTAAGTTTTTTACTAAATGGTGATTTTTTGGTGTACTTTTCACGGTAAATCTTTCTTAGAGGATTGTTTACATGCGGTAGTTGAAATGATTAAAGAGCCCAAATTCAAATGTGGCGTTCAATATTTTTAATTATTAACAATCTAAAGACCGATATCTAAATTCTAGATAGGTGAATTTCAGTCGAACTACAATTTACAGTTTTTACTATCAATTTAAATCAAGTCAAAGCCACTGTGTTCATTTTTAATTGAATCTTTGATTTTACTCAAACTATTCGTTTAGAAATTTAGCTTTTCACAGCAAATAAAATAAGTTAGTTCTTTTAACTTTAAAAAAAATTTCAAATAATATTAATGGTCATAGAAACATGATTAGACGCAGCCCAACAAGAATTGATCTACGACTTGATGACTTGACAGAATATGAGGCAATAAAGAAAGAAAAAGAATCTAAGAAAGAAAATGAAAAAGCAGGACCTGCAAATCCTCCATCATGGGGAGGTAAAGTTTCTCAGGCTGAAATTCAAGAGAGAATTGGATATGTTCCACAAACTCCCCAGTCAGCGCATAGTGGACATCCAAGAGCAAATATGACAATGTAAATAATGATATTGTTATTTTTCAAAATTACCTATCAGAAGGTTAAATGTAAGTTATTAATACATTATTTATATAAAAATACACTTCTTTTATTAACTGTTACTCACTTTTTTTATTAACAAAATACTTAACTCATACATGGCAGTATTTTAAAAATGAAGCTATAAATTAATGCCCTACTCTTAAAAGTATATAACACATGATTGATTATTAAATGCACATTAGTACAATATGCTTTTGCAGTTTCTTTTATTCTTGATTAAACAACTCATTGAATTCAAGTCTATTAACATGAAAATCTGGAAGACAAGAGCAAAAAACAACTCCTCAAAAATTATACAGCTTAATTGTCTTAAAATATTTATCCTTATCTGTTTTTATTTTAAATAAGATTATTATTACTAATTATTGTGTTGATTTTTCATATCTCAGAGATCAACATTCCATAAAAATAGATTTTTTTCAATTATCTTATTTGAACTTTGTGTCTATGTAGATATGATACGAGATTTTGTTTATCCATTGCTTGTTTAGAAGAAAACTAATTGCCTTTTTTTATTTATATTATTACAGACCCTTGTTAAAATACAAATATTGTGGTATTTCTCTTCCTTTACAGTTAGCTTTTAGTAACTCATAATTTTCTGGCTCATACTTTTGCAGAGTTTTCGATGAAATCGAACTGAAAGATACATTGATAAAATTAATCGATCTATCCCTCAATTATTTTATCTTTTTAGTACTTAGAATATTTACCATCTTTGAGGGAATATCGCACACGCAGTCGGAACCATAAGTGACAATCTAAAATATGCGAATAAATTTGTCAAGACTATCAAAATATTAAAACGGTTGTTATTAAAAATGACAATAAGCAAAACATAATTGGCAATTACAGCCCGTTGATTGTTGGATGCAGTTCGAAATCATTGTTATCAAAAAAGAATGCAAAAAATTCGAATACTTACGAGAGACCACACATAAGTACTTGAAAAGGTGCATGAAGCGGTTTGATTCGCTTCATCCACGCTCTTCTTTCGAGACGTTCCATCAGTGGAGGTAGTAAACCTGAATGAAAAACAATTTTTTTTATTAATCGCAATTTCAATCACTACGTTGATTCTTGCAACTACTAGCTGCCTTTACTTACACATTCCAGGCGCACACATAATAATCCTTGATATCACAACTTGAGTAATACCTTTCACAGACGCAAACTGAAATGCACATAATGGTATGGTATGGTGAGATTGCAAAAGACATTTCCACAAACAAACGTTACCTGTGATTTGGTCAATTTATTGCCATTTTCATCGGTAACGTCAACACCTCCGAGAATTTCGTTTTGCCTCATCAACGGAATGTTGACGCAATTAGCAGCAGCCACAGCAGCGAACGGAACATACCTCTAAAGAATTGTTTCAAGTATTAGTATCATTTGTTTAAAATCGAGTATCGGTAATTATAAGTGTACCGCGCGCGACTTTGTCGAAAACATTTGTAACATCAACTGCAGCTCACGAATGGAATGACGTATATTCATTCGAAAATGTTATAAAGCAATTGCTATGGCCGAATAATACTTTGTAAACGTTATTATTTGTACGCTGTGAAAGTGATCGGCTAATCGACATGAAATTGTTAATGAATTTGATTGAAATGTCGTGTGAAGCATTTAAGCATTTGCTATAATAACAGTACACTCACAGCCAGTAGAGGATTGGCCCTTTTTGACCAGTAAGTCTTACATCCAATGGCGGTGATCATAGCAGCCGAAGTAGCGCTTAGATAGGCTATTCCTAACTGATTTGTCGTCACTGGACTGTTTGCATTTCTGTTTGTATAATTGACCAGTGCGTTGAAAGACTGATTTACCCATTGCCAAAATACCACTGCCGTCGTAGTTCTGCAAAGACAAATGACAATTTGATCAAATGCTCACGGTCGTAACTGCAATTTAATAGTGCTTGTAGGTATGAATTCTGACTAGAGGTGGCGTTATGCAAATGAGAACTCTGCAAGGCAACTTCCGTGTTCGTCGTGTAAAGAGCCTTGCTCTTTATAACTCGGTTATTCCGAGCGGAGTTTCGAATTCGGAAAAACAGGGCTTGCAACTCCTCGGAATAATCACTCCGAGACACCTCGGTAATCTGTTATTTGCCTTGCTTTCGACCAACAGTGGATTTCTAAGAAAGCGTCTCGCCAAGTACCGATAATAAATGCATCCGTCTTCAATTGCAGCCACACAATTTACTTCACCTGTAAAATTGCAGCATAACACCGGTGATAGCCATACCACCGGGCACTTGAAAGGACATTCTACCAAAGACATTTTGCAGTTCGCCGGTGTCCGGATGAAACGACGACTCGTACAGTTTCTTTGCGTGAATGATTTGCTGCGCGGTGGTGCCTGGAGGCTCCTTCTTGAGCCTGCAAAGAATAGCTAAGCTTAGAAAACGACCCCACGAATTTGTCGGTGAGTCACGTATACATTCCGATGCGCAGCGAATTTCATTGATTGTTCACACGCGCATACATTTACCATCAACATCACTGACTAAGCACGGTACAGTACATAGTCTTGGCTGTTCATCGGAAATGCGCATTTCGATTTACTTTCGTTCTCAATTCTGCGCGCTCGAGTTAATGTTTTTTTTCCTGCTAAAAATAGCGCGCCAATGTAGGCATTACGTAATTCATATTCGCTCTGCGAAAGCCAATATTCGCGAAAGATCAACTGACCTGATGGTAGATCAATGACGGAAAGTGAAAGCGACGCACATACCTGTACTTTTCGCACAACTCCTTGGCGGCTAAGAGCTCGTTTTCGGGCGTGATGCACGTGCGAAAATCCGTCACCCAAGCGAAGTGCTTCCATCGGCCGATGAACGTACTCTGGTCCCAGAGCGGTTTGTCCAAGTCCAGTCTTTCGTCCGGCTTCGCCATTCTTAGAACGAACGGCTGCTGCCAAGTGACGCTTTTGCGCTCTCTGTCCCTCGAGTCCGCAGTTGCGTCGATCAGCCTAAAAAACAGAGATGAAATTCAAGAAGCCCTACCCCCTTCCCCGTCTCCCTTCGCCTCGTGGAAAGTGTGTCGAAGAACCTTGAGCCGGGAGCGAAGGAAAACGAGAAAATCAATAAAGTCGCATCGTCTTTTCGCAGGGCAAGCTCGCTCGCGAGTGGTCGCTCTGCACGCGCTACTTTTCCGCGTGTCGTGCGCCAACTCGGAAAGGCCTGCTTCGACGACTGTCCGGCTAGACGCGCAAAGCGAAGCAACGCCATCGCGACAGTCCGACGAACCCACCTTTCCGCCTTGTCGGCCGCCAAAGGGCCCCCGGCTGCCTTATCTATAACGAATCCGCGCCGCAGCTTCGACTACGCAGCTGCTCCATCCTCGGCGAACTGCTGCGAATGTTGCCGCGATGATAATCGCATTTAGCCGCGCACGGGCACAGTGCCACGCACTATACCTACTCCAGAAGCCTCCGTTATGTTGGCTCACGTGAGCGCGCACGTTTTCCAACATTCGAGCGCCTGCGCGCGCCAGCAAAACCCGAGCCGACTACACTCGGTCGGGATGGTGGAGACGCACGCAGGCGACCCTTATCGACCGTCGCTTTTGCTTTCTTCAGGGTGCTACGATGAATGATGTTTTTTTCTCTTTCAGGGGGGCGTTGAGAATGATTTTTCTCGAGCCTTTATTTTTAGTGATAAATGATCAATTTGTCAAAAAAAAAAAAAAATAATAAATAAAAAACAATTTCAAGGGAAAAAATGCGACGATGTGTTGGAGCTTTTCCCTTTAAAGATTACATCGAGTTGTCTGTTGGTGGTACGACTCTAATGAAAATATATGACTACTTCAATGTTTTTTTTTAGAGGGGGATTAGAGGGGCTTATGTTTTCTTTATTATTGAATGGGGTGAGTTCTAATTGACGTCACGTTGGATAGAAAATGCAATATGTCCAACAAACTTACACTTATTATCTTACTGATGTGAGTTTATTAAAGGAACCCTTGATCGTTTGCTGTTTCAGTCGATCAATTCGCCGTGATAAAAGTGAATTTTCTTACTTTTACCGTATGTTTCAAGCATCAAATTCTATTATTTCGCATTTGGGCATCCTCATAATAATCGAGCATCAAATGATGACACACATCCGTGCGCGCGCTGCACAGCACCGGTAGTTAATTACATTTAGCTCTCTCTCTCTCTCTCTCTCTCTCTCTCTCTCTCTCTCTCTCTCTCTAGTGCACGAACGTATTGTACATCCACGCATATTGCACACATCGCGCGGAAGGCGACAACACAGTTAATTAGATCTGCGCGAAAGCCGGGTGAGGTTCAGAGACCCTCCTCTGTAGAGGAAACGTCAAACGCACGCACACACGCGCGCATTACGCTCTTATCGCGCCATCGCGAATGTGTATCGACACCCTTCTTCGACGATCGCACGCCAAAGGGTTTTCTTGGCAAGAAGCTGAATTTGCTGCGCACGACTCGTGTCGATCGTTTATTTACGACGGCACTGCTTCTTCTCCTGTGCGTAGCGAGCCATTACGAGCAATTTCTCATTTGCGGAGGAGAGGAAAAAAATTGTAGCGAAGGTTTCTCTTTTTTGTTGCTGTTATTGTTGCGGTTCGTGTTGCGGTGGACGACGCAGGGGCTGGAAATGCGTTATAATATTTATGGCTTCAACTGTTTTCCGCTCTTCTTTCGCTCGCCCAATCAATTTTACGCTAATACTAATAATTAATTGATGATTTATGAGTTTGCAAATCATGCGAATTACTCGATCGAGACGAAAATCCATGAAAATGTCTTGAGTATCGGAATTGAATGATCCGTGGTCGATGCGAAAAACCGATCATAATTTGTCTTTATTATTTTGAAAAAAATTGATACGTACAGGCGGCACTCACAGTCGATATCCAATAAAACCAGGAGAGGACAATTCAATTAGCGCCTGCCGTTAGGCAACTTGATTTACGTCCAGCTATAACCGGCAATGACGCTCGAGCGTAACAAAGTTTGCCCGGTCAATTCTTAATTAGACAGGAAATCGGTGGTCCGATTGTTAGCCATCGTTAAATCAATCTTAAACTCTCAAATGGTTTTTGCTCAAGTCCTCCATCGCTCCAAGGGCCGGAGTAGTTTGTCCTTGCAACGGATTTACATGCGAAGGCATTCCAACAATTTAGCCTACTTGTTGACTTGTGCAAATTACGAGCTTCTGAAAAGTCGAATGCAGAAGGGCAATGTCGAAGAAGAGATGGGAAAAGGAGTGAAGAGAGTGCGTGTATTATCTGGCGTACATAATAGATCCAAAGTACCTTCCGCGGGCTGGAATAAAACAGAAACAAAACTGGTGGAGTTCTCGAAAGTTTTACGCGAAAGCAAGTTGAGCGAGAACTTGGGCGCGCCTTGTCAGAATCGAAAAACGCGCGAGCTTACGACGGCTTACGCTCGAACTAGGAATGGAAACAGATAAAAATGTAATGGTAGTGCGAGCGTAATAATACAGAAATTACACTGAAAGAGATGGCAGGATGATAGCGGAACGGGAGAAGGGAGGTAGAGAAAACCAAGCGAAATTGTAGAATGAAGAGAAAGAATGAGGAAGGAACAAAAGGACTTTACGTAAAGATTGAAGATACGCCCGAAAACGTTAATTAAGACAATGTTATGCTTTAATTACTCTGAAGAACGGCTTTATTGAAACCCTGCCAGTCAGCTCTTTCCCTTCTTTTTCAGTGTCACAATGAGCATGTTTCTCTTACAAATGGACAGCTTCGAGGATATACAGTCATTATTTTCGACGTACGTAATAACGAAATAACTTGGGCTTATTACGAGCAACATCTGGTGCATCTTAATTGAGCCTTGTTAACGCCGCTGCTCGCGAGCCTCTCAATGAGTCCCGCAACAAAGGAATTCCAGAGCTTTTGTGAAAAAAAGACACAAAGCGCGTATGCCTCGCGCGCTAACAGTTCGAATTTCAAAATGATCAATCAAAGAGCTGAAGTGAAAAAAACGTACATGGCTTATCGCGCCGTCCTCCCAACGCAAAAAGAGACGTTTCATCGGATAACTCGCTCGCTCTATCTCGCTCTCCCGCCCTTCGCACTCGCGAGCTTATCTCTAGGAGCATTAAAAGCGGCTCGAGAGCAATTTTTTGCTTTCCGAGGCCAACTGCGCTCACGATTTCCCCGAGGATCTCGAAAGAACAAAAAAATAAAAAAAAGGAAAATACACAGACTCGCATTCAAAAAATGCAAATAATCCTAGAGCGCGAAGATACATAAAAGAAAAAAGAAACTCCTCCCTAAATTAACTCCGCTCTTTTTACTTGCGAATAACCGTGGAATGCGAAAACCTTTCCCAATCCGTCTAACTTCGCGTGCAAGGGATGTAATCTTTCTACATCATGATGCAAAGAAAGCTTTTGCCTTTAAATGTCGCATTTTTCTTGTTTTATAGGATTTCGGCTTTATGCACTCTTGGCACTCGCTTCTAGACAAATAAAAATCTCGGTCCTTATTATTTATGCTATTGTGCTTTCGACTCATGCAAAACCAATGGAATATTTGCCATTTAAAACTGTCGTACGGATAATTTCGGATTGATTATACAATCGAATTCACATCGAGAATTTTAATGATGATTCGATAAGCAAAAACCTATTTTTCATTAATAACGTTGTTACAAATAATATTAAATATTACTTGTATGCCTAAGTAATGTACGTGTGTTCCGTTAGGTATTGATTTTACGTTAACGCTGCGTCGAACAATTTTAATATTCATGAGATGAGCCTTGAACGAATCAAAATATGCTTTTCAAATATATCGATTATTTTATTTTTATAATCATACGGTATTTTTATTCTAGAATAAAAGTGGATTGTAACTTTATTCGGTGTATTTTTGAAAAATTATTGTTGAGAAAAGTATACGAAGAGCTAACATTATTTAAATGTTCTACGTTATATTTAAAACGAAACTGATTTATTCTACACAATAAAAACAATGACTTTAAAATTGTTCAAAGGTCGCACAATGATTAGCGTGAAAATAAGAATATGATGAACTTTTCTACGAAACAAGCGATGCTAGGAACGAACTATCGAAGGAATAAGGCATCAGCAATATTGTACGGCAAAAAGGCATTCGAACGAAAACCGCAACTTTTTCGAACGAGAACGGAATCGTCGACACTATGGAAGAGAGGAGGGTAAAAGTCAAAGAATAAAAAGCAAACGCGTGAAATGGAATGAGGCATGCGAAAAGAAAGAGAGAATAAAGAGCGACAAGTGGTGCAGAGAGACGAGAAGAGAGGAGAAAGTGAAAAGAAAGCAAGGCGGTATATGGGAAACGAAACAGCTGGTCCGCAGCTTTTCTCTCATCCGTAGGGTCCAGGATATGACGACGATATGTTTACGACACTGTCAGTTTGCAATAGTCGTTCTTTCAACGTGAAATTTTTATTTTTGCAAGTCGATCTTCCTTGATTGACCAATCGAACGATGGTGCTTTCCATACGTCGACATGAGTAAAAGCCATTGTATTGATTACTTGGCATTTCTTTGTTCGTCGGAGAACAGATGCATATTAAAGACGAAGGGATTTGGAAAATGATCGATGACTGGAGAGGTATTCCCTTCAGTTTCAACTCTTTTTGACACAAAAAAACAAGCTGCCGTATACGCACATGTGTATATACGTTCATAAATTGTGTGCACGAAAATTGGGAACTTCCTTTTATGAAGGTCGCAAAGTAAGTAGCACATCGTGGTTATCAAGCTGTGAAAGACTGACATTACCCGAAGAATGTATTAAAAAAAAAGTATTCTTGCTCAAGGCTTTCAGAACGTTGACTTGTCAGAACAAAAAAAAAAATTAGAAGAAAATCTCTTGCAAACAGTTTCATGGAATAACGCACGAGTAGATTAAAAGAGTGGTTTATTGACGCGCGAAATCCGTCCAACGACTCGTCCAAAGCGTCGCCCTCCGAAAACAGTCGACACGGGATCCGGCAGAAAGCATCAATTATGAAAAATCCATCACGGAAATCGTAGTCCGACAAAGATGAAAAATACAACCGGTAATAAAATTGTTAACAATGCAGAATGTCGGAACGAGTTGACATTGTCAAACGAACATCTGAGAGAGGTATAGAGGGAAATGGTTTGGTAAACATCGATTTCAACGTTGTGCTATTTAATTTCCTCTCTCTCTTGGCCGCTATGGGCGTTTGTCTCTCTCTTCGTGCGGCTAAAGGAACGGCCATGCCAGAT